GTGTAGGGACCGATTCAACCGGGAAGCATTGAATGTGGGTTTTATATAATATGATACATGAGAGATATAGTTGACAATGGATTGGTAGTACTGACAAACAATGTAAGTTTACCATCCCTTTGGATTTCAATAAGTATTAATGTTGGTTTATTATATAATTATTAAAGGGTTTTGAGAATATCATACATGAATGTTGAAACACGTATCTATAGCATGTCCTTAGCATGAGCAAGAAGTATGCTTAGGCTTGTAGTGGAGAAAATAATTATTGTCATGTGTTTGTAAGTAATGATTCCAATTCAATCTAAATGTTATGCTTACAGCACAATGTAATTTATGCATTGCTGATGGGTGGCATGTTATTTTTTGGTGAAGCTGTTGTGTCTTGTTGGTCTTCTACTATGTGTTTTAATCATATATGTTCTATAGTTGTATATATACCGAATTTATCTACTTTTAATCTTTTATAGTTCATGGGGAAAAAAATATATGCAGATGCGGAGGTCGATGAAGTTAGAGGAGAATGGATGATGTACGTATCAAACTTTTTTAAATTATTGATGTTTTTTAACATCACTGAGAGAAGAAATATGTATCAAACTTTTAATTATTGATGCACTAATGCCATGGGACTTTTATTCCTGTATATATACTATTGTTCAATTTCATTTACTAAATTAATTGAAAGATTGTTAAATGTCTAAGTTTATTGTTGAATTCACTGTTTTAAAACCCAGACCGGACTGGCCGGTCCAACTGGTTCGACTGGGGCCCAGTCTTATGTCCGGTCCGAGCCAATATACAACCTGGTTATAATCCAAAAATCGTGTTAACCCTCTATTGAACCGGATGAACAGTGCCACCCGCCTGGTCCAACCAGCCCGCCAGGTAAACTGGTTCACAGTTTCAAATAAAAAAAAAAAAACCCTAACTCTATACTTTTTAAGTTTTTCTATGCAAAACACCAAAGGCAATCACACGCAGCCACTCTCTAAATGGTAGCCACTTTGACCACTCTCTGAAATTGCAACCCAATCTCAATCAACTCCACTCTCTCAAGTTTGAATTCGCAACCATTGTCTCAATCTCAATCTCAATCAATGACAACGATGACGACACCTCCCTTGCTTGGCGATGATGATGTCTCCCCCTTGTTGGAAATCGACGACAACACCTGTCTCGTTGGAAATCGATGACGACAACACCTCCCTTTCCCAATGACGACAACGCCTCTCTCCCTCGTTGGAAATCATCGACGACAACGCTTCCCTTGCTCGAAATCAACACCTTTCTCCCTCACTTAAGCTTTGTAAAGGTATTTCCATTGTAAAAAATGCTTAGTGTGATATAGAAATCGACGACAACTCCTTTTTTCCGGATTTTGCATGTTTCGGCTGAGTTGAGTTTTGTTATCTAAAAAATGCTTGGAAGTTTTGTTAGTTGTATTTGTTTTGAGAAGGGAAATAAGAGTCGGTTAATTAAATAATGGAAAGCTTGCTTGTTGGCTGAAAGTTTTGGGCATTGGTCTGCACTCTGGTGTGGTTGTCATTAATTCTACTTGTGGGTGAAATTTTTGTTGGGTGGAACTGGAAAGAATGGGTGAGAGACAAATGTTTGGCTTGTTCATTAATTCTGAAGTTGACTCCCTTTGTTGGCAGAATTGTTATAATAAAGAAGTTATTTTATTTATACATTGTATTTGTATTTTATATGTTTATGGACTCCATGAATTGATGGATATTGAAGGATACAAAACTTGGATTTTAGATTTAATTAAATTGGTGTTTGGGTTCAATCATCAATGAAAGTAATTGGGTTCAATGGTAAACATAACAATAATTATTTAAACATATTATATTAAAGGATATGATGATTGGACCTTGGACCAATTGACCTGTGACCTGGGCAGTAAAACAGGTTGCCCTCCGGTCCGGGTTTTAAAATAGTGGTTGAATTATGATAATTGTTGTTGGTTAAGGAATATTATGAATAATTGTATTGCACTATTCCATAATTTAATTGGCAATAATCAGGAAAATAAGCTAATTAAAAAATATATATATATTTACAACAAAAATTCTTAACAAATTTAAGATTATCAAGAATGAAAAATTATTATTAATATAATTTGATTATTATTATTATTTTGTTAAAAACTCTTGATTGTCAAGAATTTAGTTAAAATTAGGCTAAATATTTGATGGGTTTATAACTATCAAGAATCTATGAAGAGATTCTTGACAATTCAAAAACTGTCAAGACTCTTTCTTGATAGAGACTTAAATGACAGTTCAAAAAATGTAAAGGAACCACTATTTCAAAACCTGGACTGGCCGATTCAACCGGTTTGACTGGGAGCTGACCTTGACTCCAGTCCAGGTTGACATAAAAACCAAAATTACCATAAAACCTACTTTGGATCGATAATGGACCGGTGGAACAGTGTAACGCCCACTTGAGGTACGAAGCTTATGTATGTTTATTTTTCCTTTAATGTTGATTGTTTGCCCTTAGTTAAGCTTGGATGTTGTTAATATTTCTTGGTTGGCCCTTGATTGAATTGGTATGTTGGTTGGTTGAGTGGTTGCCCTAAAATTTGATGAAGACTTGCCGAAATCTTGGAGTTACAGACTTCGTCGGGGCGAAGAAGAAACTTCGCCGTGGTGACGTAGGTTCGGTAATTTTTCACCGAGGCGAAAAAAAAGTCTTCAACACAGCAAAGAGTTGGCTGAAATCCCTCATGAAGTTTCTAGAGAATTTTCCATAGGGGCAAAGTGACCATTCTACCACTAATTACCAAGAAAAGTGGGGAGTGAAATGTAAAAAAATTTCATGGAGAATACATTAAAGTTGGGGGTCCGATTGCAAAGAATTAAAGGACAAAGATGGAATTCCCAATAAAGTGTAAGGGCAAATGGAAAAGAGTGCCTATAATATGAGATATTAAGGGTTTAGTCTTTGATAAGAGTGTAATTTAGATATTTTTATTCCTTCCATATTATGTTTTTGTTATGTTTTATGCCTAGTTGAGCTGATTAGAGCTTATTTTGTAAGTTTGGCATTTTTGGATAAACTTTAGGAAATAATTGGGAAAAGATTAGGAAATTCCAGATTTTCCAGATTTTTCGTTATTCTGACTAGTGCTATGTTTTTCAGGTTTTTCAGGGAGCTAGATTCCTCAATTGCAAAAGTGTTCTTCAGAGAAATTAAAGTAGACGAATCAAGCTTTTCAGGAACATATTATGGGCGAGAATCCGAGTTTGTTTGGGTTCTCAGTAGTTTTTCCAAAACCAGACCTGGAATCCTAGTCGCAGAAGGATTCCTTAGCTGAGTATTGGATCTTCAAACGGGCCTAACTAGAGCGTCAGATATCGAAAAAGGGTGATTCAAAAGCCCAGATTCATCTACACATCCTGGACTAAAATTTTTATGGAGTGATGGAGCCCAGAAAAGATCTTTTACATTGCAAGAATCCTGGTGCAAGCTGGAGACGAATTCTGGAATCCATATCTGATAAGATTTTGTCAAATCTCGAAGTCTATCTTCTAGGAAACGTCTAGGAAAGAAATTCTGTGATTCTTGGGGAAGAATTAAGGAAAACACATGTTATTTAATTAGAGGTCTTTAGGTGAAACGGGGAGAGGACAGTAGAGTTTTAATTTTCAGAGTTTTTGCTTTCTAGATCAAGATGTGCGGCTAATTTCCTTCTTCAGTTCAAGGGGATTTTGAAGCCTGATTTCATGTCATTGGTGTAACTTAACTTCAGTAACATTGTTCTCAATCTCGTTTTTATTAGAATTGTTTATGTTATTCTGATTTAATTGTCTGTGATTCTTGTTTGAGTGATTTAGTTTTGGCCTGCTAAATTGTTTAATCAGAATTTACCTGTTAGAATTAGGAATTGTGATACGTAATCGTCCTTTTTCTATTCAACGAGTGACGCATGATGATAGCTGATTATGGACAAGTTTTCGGTCTATTGTCTTGAATAACATAACCTAAGTTAAATAATCCGAGCTTGCGTGATTGTTGCTTAGATTGATCTATTCTCCTAATTCTTAAGGCTGCCATTGAATTAAATTTAGAGAGCTTGTTCTAGGTTGTTCAAGGGTTAGTATCTACTCGAAGAGCTTGTTTCAGTAGTGACAAACTAAGGGAGAATTTAGGTAACAGAGCTTGTTGTTTCCTAGGGTCAGTAGTTCCATAATGACGAGATAGAACAGTGTTACGGTTACTTTATGTCCAATGCATGTTTAGGTGGATATTGAACCGAGAACTGATTGTTTAACCTGACATTTTATTTCTCTTTTTTACTTTAGTTTGCCTTGATTACAAACCCCCTTTCATTACTGTTGTCAGGTTTACTGTTTAGAGTTTAATATGCGTTTCTGTTGTTTTTATTGTTATAGAATATAGAAATTAATCGAGTCGTTCCCTATTGGATCGACCCTTGCTTGCCCTTTATACAATTCGGTAGTTACGTTAGTAAGGTTAATTAATTTGGTGCATTCGGTACGCTACCAAATTTTGGCGCCATTGCCGGGGACTGGTATTTGTTGATTTTTTTTATATATTCTACGTTTTTTTTTTTTTTTTTTTTTTTTTGTGATTTTGTTTAATCAGTGCTTAGTTGTGTTTTTTATTTATTTATTTTTATTTTATTTTGTTTAATTGTGATTTTTAGGTTTTTGAAGAAAAAAAAAAAAGAAATTTTTTTTAACAGTAGCACTATTCAACATGAACAGTAGTACTACTCAGTACTATTCCTAAGAGAAATTTTGGTTGAACTAGGAGTGCTGCGAGTACCCGTTTCGAAGAAAACGACATTCTGAGCAAGACTAGTTCTAGCCCAACCCTCTCGTTCTCAAATTCGATCATTTAATAGGGTTTTTAGCCAATTTTTGTTGTTGTCAAGAAAAAATTTTATTTTTTATTTATTTTTATATTTGTATTATTATTATTTTATTTATTTAGGCTTAATTTTGTGATTTTAGTGGTTTATGACTCGATCCAATTCTACAGGAGAGTTTGAATTTGATCCAGAAATCGAACGCAGTTTACGAAAGTTGCGAAAAGAGTCACGTCAAGCAAGTTCTTCATCTCCTGATCTAAACATAGCCCTTGGTTCAGCATCCCACAGTTCATCCAGTGATCCGGATTCAGAGATAAAAGAAGAGATGGCCACTGGCAGAACATTAAAGGAGTTGGCTGCCCCTGATTTTAATCAGCAGCCTTTGTGTATTTAGTACCCTACTTTAGATGTTGCTTTTGAATTGAAGTCTGGTCTAATTCACTTGTTGCCTACATTTCGTGGTCGTGCAGGTGAAGATCCAAATAAACATCTAAAGGAGTTTCACGTTGTCTGTTCAAGCATGAAACCGACTGGAGTGACAGAGGATCATATTAAGTTGCGAGCTTTTCCTTTTTCGTTGGGGGATGATGCAAAGGATTGGCTCTATTATTTACCATCAGGGACAGTCACAACATGGAATGAGATGAAAAGGATGTTTTTAGAAAGATATTTCCCAGCATCTAGAGCTGCCACCATCAGGAAAGAGATATGTGGGATAAGGCAATATAATGGAGAGACGTTGTATGAATATTGGGAGCGATTCAAGAAGCTATGTGCAAGCTGTCCTCACCACCAGATTTGTGATCAATTGCTAATTTAGTATCTCTATGAAGGATTGCTGCCTATGGAAAGAAATATGATAGATGCAGCAAGTGGAGGTGCGTTGGTGGATAAGACTCCTGAAGCTACCAAACAGTTAATCTCAAACATGGTTGCCAATTCCCAACAGTTTGGTACAAGACATGATGCGCCACCCAAAAGGGTGAATGAGGTAAGTACATCTTCCATTGAACAACAATTATCTGATCTTACCTCTCTTGTTAGACAACTGGCTGTAGGGAATGCGCAACAAGTAAAAGCTTGTGGGATATATTCGACAATGGGACACCAAACGGACATGTGCCCAACACTTCAAGAGGAAGGGACTGAACAAGTCAACGCAGCAGGAAACTTTCCTGGACCATCGAGGCAACATGATCCTTACTCCAACACGTACAATCCAAGTTGGAGAGATCATCCAAATTTCAGTTGTGGAGGAAATAGACAAGTAAGTAGTGGACAGAATTTCTTCCAGAATAGACAACAACAAAGTTTTCAACCAAAGCAACCTACTTCATAGAGTTCAAACTCATCCCTAGAAGATATAGTTAAGTCCCTTGCGTTGAATACCAAACAGTTTCAACAAGATACAAGATCTAGTATTCAAAGTCTAAAGAATCAGATGGGTCAAATGGCAACTGCTATAAGTCGTTTAGAGGCTCAAGTTGGAGGGAAGTTGCCTTCTCAAACAGTGGTGAATCCAAAGGAGAATGTGAATGCAGTGACACTAAGAAGTGGCAAGAAAGTGGAAGAACCAAACTGGACAGTCCAAGTGTAGCAAAGGAAGCAGAGATTGAAGATGAAATTGAGAAAGAAGAGGCTACAACTGAATCAAAGGTAATTCCTAACCCTTCAATTCAACTTCAATCTAATACTTTTCCTTTTCCTGGCAGATTCGCGAAGTCAAAGAAAGAAGAGAAGGATAAAGAAATTTTGGAGATGTTTCGCAAGGTGGAAGTGAATATACCTCTGTTGGATGCAATTAAGCAAGTGCCAAGGTATGCGAAATTTCTTAAGGAGCTATCCACCAATAAGCAAAAGTTGAACGGTGATGAGAAGATAATAATGGGAGAAAATGTGTCAGCAGTTTTCCAAAGAAAACTTCCTCCCAAATGCAAGGATCTATGTATGTTTACAATTCTTTTTAAGATAGGTAACACTATTATTGAGAGAGCTATGTTAGATTTAGGAGCTTCGATTAATGTTATGCCACGATCTATTTATGCTTCATTAAATCTAGGTCCTGTGAAAGATACTGGTGTTATTATCCAATTGGCTGATCGTACTAATGCATACCCTAAAGGGGTAGTTGAGGATGTTTTTGTGTAGGTCAATAAGCTAGTGTTTCCGACTGATTTCTACATTCTAGATATGGATGATTCCTCTTCTCCTGACCCTGCACCTATCTTACTAGGAAGACCATTCCTAAATACAGCTCGGACAAAAATAGATGTTCATGATGGTACCCTCACGATGGAATTTGATGGTGAAGTAATTCGTTTTGATATTTTTAATGCCATGAAATATCCAACTGATGTTCAATCTATTTTTGCTATTGATGTTGTTGATCCTGTTGATTCCATAGTGCAAGAGGTCTTTGAGTTGAATAATGTAGATGAGTTAGAGGTTGCCCTTCTCAAACATGTGGAATCAGAGGAGAAAGTAGAGATGGAGCTCAGTGAAGAATTGAAGGAGACATTGGCAGCTTTACATTCTTTAAAACCGATTCCAGAAAGGTATGGAGTTTCTTTTATAAAGCTCCCTGATTCTCACCAAAAATTATTGCCTTCTGTTTTGCAGGCCCTATACTGGAGTTGAAGCCATTACCAAGCCATTTGAAGTATGTGTACTTGGGAGAGAATGAGACACTGTCGGTAATTGCGTCGAAGAAGTTAACACCCAATCAAGAAAAGAAACTAGTTCGAATGTTACGGGAGCATAAGGAAGCGATTGGCTAGACCATAGCTTACATTAAAGGGATTAGTCCTTCCATATGTATGCATCGGATTCTGTTAGAAGAAGGAGCCAAACCGACANAGGTCCTATGAAAGATACTGGTGTTATTATCCAATTCGCTGATCGCACTAATGCATACCCTAAAGGAGTAGTTGAGGATGTTCTTGTGCAGGTCAACGAGCTAATGTTTCCGACTGATTTCTACATTCTGGATATGGATGATTCCTCTTCTCCTGACCCTGCACCTATCTTACTAGGAAGACCATTCCTAAATATGGCTCGGACAAAAATAGATTTTCATGATGGTACCCTCACGATGGAATTTGATGGTGAAGTAATTCGTTTTAATATTTTTGATGCCGTGAAATATCCAACTGATGTTCAATCTATTTTTGCTATTGATGTTGTTGATCCCGTTGATTCCATAGTGCAAGAGGTCTTTGAGTTGAATAATGCAGATGAGTTAGAGGTTGCCCTTCTCAAACATGTGGAATCAAAGGAGAAATGAGAGATGGAGCTCAGTGAAGAATTGAAGGAGACAGTGGCAGCTTTACATTCTTTAAAACTGATTCCAGAAAGGTATGGAGTTTCTTTTATAAAGCTCCATGATTCTCACAAAAAATTATTGCCTTCTGTTTTGCAGGCCCCTATATTGGAGTTGAAGCCATTACCGAGCCATTTGAAGTATGTGTACTTGGGAGAGAATGAGACACTGCCGGTAATTGTGTCGAAGAATTTAACACCCAATCAAGAAGAGAAACTAGTTCGAATGTTGCGAGAGCATAAGGAAGCGATTGGCTGGACCATAGCTGACATTAAGGGGATTAGTCCTTCCATATGCATGCATCAGATTCTGTTAGAAGAAGGAGCTAAACCGACACGAGAAGTGCAACGAAGATTAAATACCCCAATGATGGATGTGGTGAAAAAAGAAGTCCTAAAGCTTTTAGATGCTGGGGTAATTTATCCAATTTCTGATAGTAAGTGGGTAAGTCCAGTACAAGTTGTCCCCAAGAAATCTGGTGTTACAGTGGTGAAAAATCAAGACAATGAGTTGGTCCCTACACGTATTCAGACAGGCTGGCGCGTGTGCATTGATTACAGGAAGTTGAACTCAACAACTCAAAAAGATCACTTTCCATTTCCCTTTATTGATCAAATGCTTGAGAGGTTAGCTGGTCATATTTATTACTGTTTTCTTGATGGATTTTTAGGGTATAACCAGATTGTCATAGCGCCAGAAGATCTAGAGAATACGACATTNAAGGTGGCATTTGACAAGCTGAAAATAATGTTGATGACAGCACCAGTGATACAACCACTTAATTGGGAGCTACCTTTCGAAATTATGTGTGATGCGAGCAATTTTGCATTAGGTGCTGTTTTGGGTCAACGAGTTGGCAGAGCGTGTCACGCCATTTATTGTGCATCTAGGACCTTGAATGGCGCCTAGCTAAATTTTTCTACGACTAAAAAAGAACTTTTATCTATTGTTTTTACTTTAGAGAAATTTCGGTCATATTTGTTGGGTGCTAAAGTCATTTTTTTTTTCTGATCATCCAGCTCTTAGGTACTTGCTCACAAAGAAGGAGGCAAAACCAAGGCTAATTAGGTGGATTCTTCTCCTCCAGGAATTTGATTTGGAGATTAAAGATAAAAAGGGAGCAGAGAATTTTGTAGCAGATGACCTTAGCCGTTTGGTTCGTGGCAGCGATGAACTTCCTTTACAGGAAACATTTTCGGATGAGCAATTGTTTTCCAATGAAATGGTGTCACCATGGTATGCAGATATTGTCAATTTTTTGGTTACTTACGTGTTGCCAAATGATTTGACTAGAGCTCAAAAGGACAAGATCAAGAGTGATGCTAAGTATTATACCTGGGACGATCCATATTTGTGGAAGCATTGTGCTGACCGAGTGATAAGAAGGTGCGTGCCTGAACATGAATTTACTCCTATCCTAACCTTCTGTCATACCTATGCATCTGGAGGACATTTTGGACCACAGAGGACAGCTTGTAAGGTATTGGAATGCGGCTTTTATTGGCCATCGTTGTTCAAGGACGCCTACATATTCTGTAAGTCATGTGATAATTGCCAAAGAATGGGAAACATTTCTCATAGAGATCAAATGCCACAATCTCCCATATTTATTGTTGAAAGTTTTTATGTTTGGGGCATTGATTTTATGGGTCCATTTCCTGTTTCCTTTGGTAATGTTTATATTCTGTTAGCTGTTGATTATGTTTCCAAATGGGTGGAGGCGAAAGCCACCAAAACTAACAATTCAAAGGTTGTTGCAGATTTTGTTAAAACTAACATTTTTGTCATGTTTGGGATACCAAGGGCCATAATCAGTGATGAGGGCACTCATTTTTGCAACAGGACAATAGAGGCATTGCTTAAGAAATACCATGTCACACACAAGGTCTCCACATCGTACCACCCACAAACCAATGGCCAAGCGGAGGTGTCAAATAGAGAGATCAAGTCAATTTTGGAAAAGACAGTGAACCCAACCAAGAAGGATTGGTCTTTGAGATTAGATGATGCATTATGGGCATACAGAACAACATATAAGACACCCATTGGCATGTCCCCATACAGATTAGTGTTTGGTAAGTCGTGTCATCTTCCAGTGGAATTAGAGCACAAGGCTTATTGGGCAATCAAGCATTGCAATATGGTGATGAAGGAAGCTGTTGTTAATAGGAAGTTGCAATTGCAAGAACTTGAGGAGTTGAGGAATGATGCCTACGAGAGTTCACACATATACAAAGCAAAGACTAAAGCCTTTCATGACAAGATGATCTCAAGGAAGCATTTTTCAGTTGGACAGAAAGTCCTTTTTCATTCAAGGCTGAAGTTATTNTTTTGTTTAATTGTGATTTGTAGGTTTTTGAAGAAAAAAAAGAAAATGAACAGGAACCTAAACAGGAAGGATTGGTCTTTGAGATTAGACGATGCATTATGGGCATACAGAACAGCATATAAGACACCCATTGGCATGTCCCCATACAGATTAGTGTTCGGTAAGTCGTATCATCTTCCAGTGGAATTGGAGCACAAGGCTTATTGGGCAATCAAACATTGCAATATGGAGATGAAAGAAGCTGGCGTTAATAGGAAGTTGCAATTGCAAGAACTTGAGGAGTTGAGGAATGATGCTACAAGAGTTCACACATATACGAAGCAAAGACTAAAGCCTTTCATGACAAGATGATCTCAAGGAATCATTTTTCAATTGGACAAAAAGTCCTTCTTTTTCATTCAAGGCTGAAGTTATTTCCGAGTAAGTTACGTTCTCGTTGGGTGGGACCTTTTATTGTGACTAATGTTTTTCCTCATGGTGCAGTAGAAATACAGAGTTTGAAAACAAACAAGGTGTTTAAGGTCAATGGACATAGGCTTAAGCCTTACTATGAAGGGTTCCAAGTTTACACTATTGAGGAGGTGGGATTAGAGGAGTCGATACATGAGTAGTGAGGACCATGTAGAGAGTCGAGCCAACGACGTTAACCAAAGGCGCTGCTTGGGAGGCAACCCAAGAATTCAGATTTGATTTTCTTTTCCCTTGACTTTAGTTTTTTATTTTTTGCCATTTTTTTTTTTTTTTGTTTTATTTGTTTTATTTGCTTGTCTCTACATTTGGGGTATTACATTGGGGACAATGTAAGTTTTAAGTGTGGGGAAGAAGTTACGCTTGGATGGGTGTTACATTCTGTTTTTTATTTTTTGTTTTTTTTTTTTTAGGTGTGTGTTTTATTTTGTTTTTTTTAGGAGTATGTTTCTGTTTTAAAAATAAAAAAATAAAAAAAAGAGGAGTTTTTGTTTTTAGGAAGGTTTATGCTTTAAGTCATGTCTTTGAACGTCTAGTGATGCATGAAATAGTAACTTGACTTTGTTATTGAACATATTCCTTGACTTAGGACGTTAGCAATATTTCATAAAATAGAGTTAATCATATTTGAATCTTTGTAGTCTTGAAACAATATGTCTTGATAAGTTTTGTGAACTTGGTGACGAAGCATGACTGAGGAGTGTATAACAACCCTTAAAAGAAAGAAAAAAATTGTTTCTCTTAAGCTAGTCCTAAATTTGGGTTTAAGCAAATAGGAAAAAGAAAAGAAAGGTATGTGGTGAGTCGAGATGGAGCATAAAACGCACTCACTCATAAACACAACTATGAAATGAGATGGAGCATAAAATGCACTCATTTTTAATTGTTTAAAAAAAAAAAAAATCCCTAGTTTGCTACCCAGTTTGTAGTAGTAAAGAGAAACAGTTGAGGAAAAGTTGAGGGGTGAGTTGTACATGAATTGGTTGTGATTAGTTTCCTTGTTTGCATTGACTGATTGAGAGTAATTGTGGAAAATGATGAAGAGATACGAATGTCATTAACTCTACTTTATTTTATCTTTGTTGCTTCCTAAGTTAGGTATGAATATGCATGGATTAAATAGTGTTGCTTATGCATCATGATGGTGTTCTGGATATGACTTGAGTGTAGCTTTTCTTTAGTGTTTGAATTAGTTTAGTTGCCCGAGGACACGCAAAAGCTAAGTGTGGGGGAATTTGATAAGAGTGTAATTTAGATATTTTATTCCTCAAATTATGTTTTTTGTTATGTTTTAGCCTATTTGAGTGATTAGAGTTTATTGTGAGTTTGGCATAGTTGGATAGACTTTAGGAAATAGTGATAAAAGATTAGGAAATTCCAGAATTGTTGTATTCTGACCAGTGCTGTGTTTTTCAGGTTTTTCAGAGAGCTAGATTTCGACTGCCAAAGTGTTCTTCAGAGAAATTAAAGTAGACGAATCAAACTTTTCGGAAGGTATTATAGGTGAGAATCTGAGTTCGTTTGGGTTCTCAGTAGTTGTTGCAAAACCGGACCTGGAATCTAGTTG